ATGTTATATGCTATAACTTAAAACCACGTCGAGTCTAAATCCTACTCTAATTAATATTTTAAAAGTACAACATTTAATTCAAACGAATACTAATACAATAAATTCAGACTTATTAATTTAGAATAGTAAAAAAAATCATAACTTTATTGTAATTTGCTATTGAATTTGACCAGAATTTACAATCTAATTTAGAAATAGTAATAATAAAATCTAATTTTAATAACATTTTATTTATTATATAAATATTTTTTAGAAAATTAATTCATCCTAATTCGAGTTGTTGAATCTGCCAGTGAATTAGTCTGCTTACATCATTTACTCAAATATTTATAACTTATTTAAGCTTGTTATAGGCCTACTCTGAAGTAAGTAATGAACACGACAGCATTGTCGTGTATGTCACAGTTTAAATCTACATGACAATACTATCATAACATAATATTTAGTCAATTGACAGAATAACAACTAAATTATTATGTATGTGTGTGTTTACGCGTTAAAACAATTACTAAATTATAAAAATATATATTAATTTTTTCAAGAATATTAACATGAATCAAATGATTTAATATACAAATATTGTATATGATAGTAAATTTGATTATTTTATAATAATTTAATAAATTTTATCGAAAAATTAAGCTCTTTATTATTTACTGTAAAGATTTAAAGAATCCTCGACATTCTTGCATAAAACATCAAGTCTCGTGTAATTATTATCATAACAAATGTAAAATTAAGTAATGAAGATTTAAGAAGAGAACTTCATAACACCTTACATGAACCTCGTGACCAAACTTAAAAAAGAATTATTATTAATACAATAAGGAAGGAAGAAAAAAAAGAACTTAACATTAATATATTCGAGAATCGCATGAAATTTATTAAGCAGGTTAAAATCGAGCCCATTTAATTCTGGCGCCCTTCTATGGGTGAACCATGCAGGTCACGTGGGTGTAGAAGCGGTGTAGTGATGCGGAAGTCCTTCAATACACGTGACACTATGTTGGCATGGCAACGGGTTGATCCGCCTACTTCCTTTCAATCTCTTTTGTCTATCCTCTTTTTATTGTTGATGTATAGGTTGGTCCACAAAGGACAACATTCTTCTTTTAATTAAATAACTTTAAATTTATTAATATAATTACATGATTTAATTATTAATGCTACCAGACGAGCAAAATGCGGAAAATTCAAGTATTATCTATATAATCGTATCCGGGTATCGAAAAATAAGGTACAAAACAGGTAATGTTAAACATTATCACTTCGATAACTTCTCAACCTTAACATTGAGTAGACAGGGTGCGGCCGTAATACGACACCAGTAAGATAAGAGAACGTTCGACACTTGCCTTACTTAAATTTTAAAGCAATTTTCATAAAAATATTTTTAAAATAATTTTATTACCACCATAATACAAAACTTAAACAATGAACTATTAAATTGACTCAAATAAAAACCAAGTTTTTATTAGAGTTTTTCGAGGGATAGAGCTTCTTAATTTTTGTTATAAACACGATATTATCCTTTTATTAATATGCATTTAAATTCATTATTGTTGGGGAGATGTGAAGGATATAATTTACACCAAAGCGGCACTTTATTCCAATATATTGTATGCATCGAAGAATCGCTCTAACCGTAAGTAACCTCTGAGGGTTGAAATGGTTGACGCCTACATCAACAGATGTGAGGAAACAAGTTAGTTTTTTTCACTCAAGGACGAAGTGTAGCCAGTCCATTGTCTTCTCTTCGAAGTTCATGGGCAGTTTGGGTTTTGTGTTACGGTCTGGTTGATTTAGTCATCGTTCAGTTCTTGTTAAGAAGGCGGATAATGGAAGATTTAAAAAAGAAACAACGTAATTCATGCAACTGCTTTTAATTATATAATTCCTACGCAATTTGTAACTTAGAACAGATTTAACATTAACATAAAGGTGTTGATACTAAGAATAATAAATGGTTTCCTTTCAATTTTTTTTTATGCAGCCAGCTACGCGGAATGTGAAAAGTTTTATAAAAATTTATGTTTTATACTTCAATAATAAAAAAAACTGTCGTATAAAAAAGATATTAAAACCCTTTTTCTTATTTAAATCCATTAGAATCTGACTAACAAAACGTATTCGAAGAAGAATAAATCTATGATTTATGCATTATTACAACGTCTTGCACTAGCCAAAATTCTACTTAAACAAATTTAAAACACGTAACATGAATGTTATTTTCAAGAATGGTTTAAAAACTGTTTTAAGTTTTTAAAATTATTCAGAAATACATAAAATTTCATTTTACTTAGTCATGAAACTTATGAAATATCAGAAAAAAAATTATTTTTTTTTTAATAGTAAAATGGATAATATATTTATTTTAAAAAACTATATATATATATATTCAAATTNAAATCTATAGCCTTTATCAGTAAACAATTGGTAATTCGCTTTTTCCAGTTAGTGCATCGAACCCAGATGAAAGTTCATGTGTTAGCCAGTTCCTATATGGCCCTATAATTATTCTATTGTTTCGCTTGGGAGGCTATGTAACCTTTACCCTTTGATTTTCTACCGTAAAAAAAAGAAGAAAAAGAATTTCAACGAATTTTTCTCCGTTTGAAAATATTCTTTCCTGTTTTAATCAAACATTTTCATAAAATCAAAATACCTTTTTATATCTTCGATGTTGTAAATTATAGAATTTTGTAAAAATTAACTCAACAATTCTTTATTATAGAAATATTCATTTACAATTAAAATTTAAAGACGTATGCAAAATTAAAAATTATTAACATTTAGATAAAGTTTATAAATTTTTAAAGGCATTATATTTTTATAAGTGTTAAAATAAATGGCATTATAATAAAGTTAAATCCATTACGAAACTGTTTAAATTGTAACAAAAATCATATTATTATGCTGAAACCGTTTATCAGTTAATGATGTTCTGATATTATTATGGATGTAGACGTAACAGAAAACGGGTTTTAATAGCAAAAAAAATAAAATCCAGTTACAAAGAATCGAACTCATGAGCAATTACATCAAACAAGAATTAAACGAGTCAACTTTGATTATTCACATCACCTTTTGGAGTACTTATACGATTTTATTTCGTATATTGTTTTATAAATTCATATTATAACCTCTTATTCTTAGTATAAAAGATTTCTCCATCACCCAGGAAGTATACAGTAAGTGTGGCCTTCTATCTGCACCATTATCAAAGCGGTGTCAAGCATGCTAAACAACCAACAATAGCTCAACGATAACGACTGAAACAGAAACAAAAGACTTATAGGTGATGCTAACCCAAATCCTTTGTTAAAACATAATAAAGTCTGAATTCATTGGAAGCATTCACAATACTGAAGAAGTAGAAACGTTAAATCAAAAGAATATTTTAAGGAACTGACGGTTTAACAACCGATTTGTGAAGTGGAATAAGTAAATTACGAAAAAAGAAAAAAAAAAAATGTATAAATATATAAAAGAGGAAAAATGATTTATAATTATGTCGTTCTGATAAAATAGGCCGTTTGTCCTAATAATAATTTTATTCTGTGACAAGTAGGACGTGGTATATACCGTACTTTATAATTATATGTTTCATAAACTGAATGTAATTAAATTATTCGTATTTTTTTAGTAAAAAAAGAGGAATTAATATTTCAGAAAAATAAGTTTTAGGACAAATTAAGTTTTACATTATTTTAAGAGATGCAAATAAGTTTATGTGTAACATTAATCTGTGTCAAGTGTTTTAGGATAAGTAAATTTAATTTTTAAAAAAATTAAGTCGAGTAGAAGGAGAAAATTTATTTGAAAAATTTTGCCTGCTAAGGATACTTTCTTACAAAACAGTACATTCATCACAATAGATAAAATTGTGTTATTTATTTTAAATTTTTTTGTGTGAATATCTTAATTTAAATATTGAAAAAAATAATATATATATACTTTTGGGGGAATATCAATGCAAATATTAAGCACGCTTCCGATAGAAAAAGAAGGAGAATAACCCGTAAAAAGGTACACGTTTTTCGAAAGCATCTCGGAATAGATAGATGACGATAAATAAAGTCGGTAGAGTCACCCACGTTTTTTCACGACCACCGGAATATCACGCGAATCACGAGCCATATGGTATGTGTTGCTACTATCTAGTCTCTTTGATCAGGGTACCGACACCCCGAGGCAGGGGTCGTCACCGGTTTCCACCGTGATCGTCCGTCTGCTGACCCCATGAACCGTGCACGTGATGAGGGTCGTGTGGGGATGCAAATCCTCCCCCTTATAGATCTAGAGCACTTGAAAAAGCCATTTTTTTCTTTATTAATAATATTTATTAATATACAAATAATTCGAAAGGAATAATTTACTGTCCGATCGATATTTCTCTCATTTCATGACCTAAATGTCAGCGAAAACTTTTTATTATATTATCGATCTTCTATTCTTCAACTCGCTGAAATGATGCAAAAATCATTTCATTTACATTTCAAGAATTCAAAATATTTTTGCATGTTATACGAATTTATAATTTGTTTTCGATATTTATATAATATAAATGCAGCTAATTATAATATACAGATATGTTTATTTTAAAATTAAAAATATATATATACATGCCTATAATTTTGAATGTAATCTTTGGAAGATGATTAATTAAAGAATTACTAAAAATTATATAATATTAACTAATTAAATTATTTTATATACAATAAATATAAGCTTTAAATTATATAAAAATCAATAAAAGTAATTTTTAATCGTATACAGAACACAATATGTAAATTTTTTACTATCGAGTGTATATATATCGATAAGTTATTAGTGAATTATAATTATAGGGACTTTATATAAAGAAAAGATCCTTCTTATTGTAAAAAATTAAAATAAAATTTATGTAGAAGTTTATTTCTTCAGTATTTACGAAGAAATCTTAAATCCTCCCACACAGATTCACCTGTTTTATCTGCATTTTAGAATCTAGAACTCACCTTTCATATAAGTGCCTTGTCTTCTATGATCTAACTGATCCCCAGTGAGAAAAATAACGAAAGGGCATATCCTTAAATCCAATCATAATGTTGCATTACGATATCGTTAACATTTTGATGATTAAAGCGAACGTCACTTTCCAACAGCGCGCCTCGGCAACTGAGGAAGTCACAGACGAGTTAACTCAGTGACTGCTAGTCATACAACTCTTATCATTGGTTCGTACTAACGGAGATCACGTGACGAGGAGAGTCACGTGACGGAAAGAATCGACCTTGAAAGTCGATTTCCTGCTGTTAGCAGTGAGGTAGAGCAGGTCGACTACCCCCTTCGATGGTCGAGGAATGGTTGTATACGATTTGATACATGCCACTGAGTCAGAACCGTATTACATATATATATGTTCTCTATATATATTTTTAATGGTTTCTATAACCATTCAAAGTGAAATTGCTAAAAAAAGTAAGAAAGAAGAATAATAATAACGATGAGTTAATGACGTAAAATTATAGGAAAATATCTATTATTACCGCAATAAAAATATATTTTTAAGTTAAGTAAATTGTAATTCAGTAAATTTATTCCTTCCCTATCATTTTAGTTTGCATAGAAGAACAAATATTTCGAATGGAAAACAAATTTCACATATTTTTACTGATTTGGAAATAAAGGGTTGTGCATAGAAATAAAGAATTCATCAGCTGCTACCATGCATAAAGATCGTCTTCGTGTCGAAATAGCTCAGAGAAAACGAAAGAACTCGAAATGAAATCATCAGAAATGTGCCCAAAAAAACGGATATTTTATAATTATTTTTGAGTAAAAATCTGCTCTAATTTTCGCAATAACCATTTCGCATGTTTTTCTTGCTCGAAGATATTGTTAACGATGCTATCTGCCAAGCTTATCAGCATTATGGCAAGTCTCACGATTGTTATCAAGTATATTGATGAACACGGAAATGGAATAAATGAGTACCGATATTTCAATGTCAAATTTCCCTTCAATTATAGTTCGATATCTAAGTCGGAATTTTAAGTATTTTGATTTATTATTTAACTAGTCATCGTTCAATATCGTAGATTCGATACGAGCTTTTATATATTCTCATAAACTTTAACAATTTTATTGAATAGGATAGATAATTTAAAGTTGTTTAGACATGTAATTTGTATCTTAATTGAAATATAGGTTAAGTTAGAAGAAAATTGTAAGAAAACAAATTTATGTCCCGTCGAAAGTGTTATATAGAAGTCATTAGTGGGGCAAATTTTATTCATTCAGGAGCTGTTACGGAGCAGAGAATCCATTAAAAGTGAACACTTACTTAGCAGATCTCAGTCGCATTAAAGTTTCTTCTTTTTCATTAAAATTTTGATTAATATCTTAAAATTTTGTTTTCCTTCAAATAAGGAAAATTTGTAAATGGTGTCGACAACCCTTCGGAGATTTTTCCTTGACCTTTGGGCAGGAAAGGGTTCGCACCTTTTTTGATCACGTGGTCAAATCTCGACAGGTTTTGGGCAATCTCCAACGGATGGCGTAAAATACAGCGCACCGTTTTCTATGGCATGGTCTCAATCAGGAAGAGAAATGGCACGACCTTCGTCAACTTAGGTTAATCCTGCTGTTTCCGACGTTTGATAATTGAATTTCGGTGAAAAATATTAATTTATTTTGCATTTTTTCTTATTCGCTTTCAAGTATAGAAAATATTACCACTTTAAAATTCAATTTTTCACGTTTATTTTTTTCCACTTTTTACAAGTACCAGAATTTAATTTCGATTTCTTGGTAAAGGCGTTTTATAGTAATGGAAGATTGAACATACAGGTACGGACATACACAAATATAATTTTGATGGCTAAGCAACGAGGCCATACTGTACTAGAAAAGTAATGAGCGAAAATAAAACTCTTGTACATTACCTTATGGGTATAATTATCAAATGCCAACTTTGACCAAAGGCAATATAACATGAGCAATTACTTGTGTATGTAATTTTTTCCTTTGATTCTAATTATCATACTCGTTGGTTTTATTTAGAACAAATGATAGTTGAATTGCCAACTTTTCTTTTACTGTTTTTTTCTAACATCCTCGCCCCAAAAATGAGGTTAATTGCCCACTACTCTTCCAACTTTCGTGTATATACCAATTCAAGTTTTTATATTTTTCAATGAACTTTGCATATTATAAATATGTTTAAACTAATGATAAAATTATACAGGGTTTAATTTTACAGTTTTAAAAATATTTATCACATTATATCCTATATTTTAAATTAAAAAAAAAAAAAACGTGTATATGTATAGCCTATATTTAAAATTATTATTATTTGTGATACATTAATATTAATTATCACAATTAATTAATTTAAATAACCATAAAGTGATTAAGTTCTGTATAAAGCGAAGAGTTTTTTTGGATTTATTTTTAATTTTTTAAGGAATTATTGTGCATTAAGATACAAATACACAAAATTATATGAAATTTTCTATTAATTTCTTAAATTACAAATGTGATATTCTTAAAAATAATAAAATTTTTACAGATATTATCTTAAAAATTCGCATTTACTCAACAATAAGTTCATATTTTCAACCTATTTAAAAATAATTAATAGTAATAGCTTATAAAATTGTTGAGAAAAATAGGCGTAGAAATATTTATAGTTCTACACCTACTATTTATATTTTTATATCCAAAATAATAAAGTTTCAGAGATTACATATATATTTTCTAATCTAAAGTAAGTGAAAATAGCCGACTGTCATCCCGATCTTAAAGAATATGGAATGCAAGTGGGTTGTTTGTCTTTCTCCTGTGACACAGATTCGTCCTTCACTACTTTATCTTCATTATAAAGTTGGCTCTTTCTCTTTTATGGGATCAGTAACACGATTTTTATTTATTTCTATCGTTGTATACGTTTCTCGACTTAAAATAAACATAACAATTTATATGCAAAGTAAACATTTATAAGTAAATAATGAAAATAAAAGATGTTTTATTCGTTTTTCTTAACGAAATAAACTCGAATTTATTGACTTATTTACGACTTTATAATCGCGGTTCTAATAATCTGCAATGACCTTGTTAAGTGAGTATCATTGTAGAAAAGCTGGTTATCATTGACTTATTGATACTTAAATGAATGAATTATTACCACTATGATAATTATCCACAAATAAAATGATCGTATATCATTATCTAAAATTCCGCCAATCATTTGTATACGTTCTGGATTATTATTATATTTATAAACACGATAAAAGAAACAAATTTTTGATATGAGCTTGAATTTCTTATAGGCTATTTTTATTTAAGTAAAAATTATATAAATAAATATATTTATATTAAAAAAATTTTTTATACTTGTATCAATAATTACACATTTTATACGATCTTTCACCGTAGCTTTATTTATTTTTAATGATGAAAAAATAATAATTTACGTTCGTATTTTGTTCGTTTGTTGTCATTGCATGTTGGATTAATATCTCAAAAATAATTTTAGATAAAAATCGTTAAGTTTTCAGGATAATTTTACAGAAAAACTTAGACATCTTGATCCGATCTTGATCAAGCTATACATCAAACTTGATCAAGATCAGATTAAGTTGTCTGAAGCTTTCGTTTAAAATTCGAGAAAAATGCTCATGTCATTACCATTTTAAATAATTTCGAATTTTCTAATTATCCCTAATTACTAAGAATGGCTTAAATTAATTCAGTAGCTACATAAAGAAATGCAGATGAAGCTCATTTACATAATGTTATATCTTGAACTATGATATACAATGTATTGTTACTGATTATTGCGCTAATTATTGTCTAATATAATGCGCAACACGTGAGAGTTTCGTGTAATATCATTTGCTAATGTTATATGAAAAAATTACTCATTGATGGCAATAGGTTAATGGAAGAACTCGATGTTTGTATAAACGTATATAATAAAGTAAAACGTATTAGAGTCTGTATATTTTTTTAATTAGCTATTTTAATTAATTGGCACAACGAAATTTTTAAAGTAAATAACCTCTTAATAAAAGTAAAAATAAAATTCTATCTTGATAAAAGAAAACGATAAGGAAGCTTTAAATATTTATTTTCATCGAGGCAAATAAAAAAATTTCCCAAAACTTTTAAGTTTACGCATTGATAACAGATAATAATTTAGACTTAACTTTCCAATGGAAAATCAAAGGGTTTGATAATTAGTGAAACGGCATTTTTACTTTTTTCCGAAACTATTTGTCAATCTTTCTGACATTTATTATATCGATCTTAATTCTACCACAACAGAAGTTAAATTATAGTTAATGAAGGTCATTAAACCTTAAGCTAGTCAGGCTAACGGACTTCGAAGGCAAACCGGTATAGAAGTAGCATTATCATTTACATTCTCCTCTATATATAAAGATTTTCATCCCGTTTTATATTCGATATTTATACTTTTGAAGGTGATTTATTTCGTATCAACTTTATATAAATCTATTTTTTTTGCCCCTCTAATCACTAAAACTCTACTAAAACTCTCACTCTCTATAACATTGTCTTTACCAGTAACATCTGTATAATATACAATTTACTTAATACGTTCTTAATTTATTAAGAAAATTATAAGGTTAAATTTTATTTAATTAACATTTTAAACACGATAGACCTTTCAATTTTATATTGCTTTAAAGTTTTACTTAAGACTGGTTGCATGACTTAACTATAATTAATGATTTGAATATTCAGGTGTACATTAAAATTTATTTATCCGATATAATCTTTATAATTTAATATTTAAAAAATACAATAAATAAAAGTTAGAATACAATCTGTGAAATTTATTATGAGAAAATGAAAATGTAACGAGTTCTGGTTTTAACTATTCATAGAACCGAATTTATAAATAAGGATATGGTTTTAATATTCTAAAAACGCAACTGCGAACGATATAGATACTATATAATTATAAAAATATTTTAGTTGTTAACGAGCTATCTAACCTAACATAGGAATAAATTATCTTTAAAACTAATTATTAGGCAATGTCACAGTAGGTTTCATGAATATAATTTACTTCGGAATTTAACTGCTTATTATTACTAACAGGTGGAACTTCAATTGCAGTTTCGTGGCTACAC